GGCTCCACGCTTGCCGCCCGTGGCGCCCGCGCCACGCACTGCCACGCGGCCGCTCGAGAGAGCGGTCGACGCCCATACTGCTGGGCGTGGCGCTCTATCGGTAGACGCTTCAGCGTCGCTGCTTGGCGGGGGACCCGTGCCTCGACGCGGCGGCGCGGCCGAGTACGGCTCGGTGGCTCAGCGCGTCGCCACGGATGAGATGCGTTCCTGCATGTAGGGGGAAGCTCCAAGAATGTTTCGTTCTACTTGCAGGAGAGGTCCAAGTAATTCGAGTGACTGCATGGCTCTTCGCGTCGAGGATGCGTCCACGCTAATGACTTTCTTGATTGGAAGCGCCGTGTCTTGCGGCACGTGTTGTGACAAACTAGCCGCTATTAAAGAATATGGGAATGTTATCTAGTTAAGGCAACAACCCGAGCGACATCTCAGATAGACTCTCACTGAGAGACCACCTCAAACAGAGACAGACCTTAGACAAATAAGAGACAGGGACACACACACACACACATACACGCGCGCGGTGTACCCGCTGCGTACGTCATGCGCCTGAGCCTATCTCTACTCGCATGCGTCCTCAAACCTGCCCGCACGCGAGGTCGTACTCGCTGCGGGCGAGGTAGACAGGAAGGTATAGAGATCGCGAGACGGCGACCGTCGCCAACTCGTCGCGACAGGCGACGGATGATGTCACGCGCGTGCGTCGTATGTGCGCGGCCGACTACATCGAAAGCTCCAGCGCACACCCGAAACAAAGGTGGCCACAAACAGAGGAAAGTCACTACTGACGAACAAGCAGCCAGCACAACAACAGCACACTCTAAAGTAAGCTCTAAGGCGCCGTAGGCGGTGTCTCCGAGACAGTGTCTGCACACACACCACACACACACACGCCCCACACACGCACACGAACACACACACTCACGCGCGCGCACGCACGCACACCATGGCACAGGCAAGAAACACACGCATGTCACCGCTACGAACCGGTGGCGGCCACCACCACTTCCCCGCGCGTGACCTGGCCGCCACCAGCGGCGGCGTCGCCAACAACGACCGCCGAGACCACCGCCAAGGCGCTGGGGCGGTACTGCGGGTTGTTCGAGCCAGGGCACCGCTGGGACGTTGGGCCGTGCGCAAACATCAGCCCGGTTTTGATGAGCTTCGTCGACTTGTATTTGCAGCCTTCATACGTACAGCGCCACACCTGTGGTGCTGCCGCGGCGGGCAGCGGCGCGTCCGCAAGAGGCAGAGCGGCCGGCGGAGGCGCAGCTGCCGGCGCCTCGACAGCCTCCACTCCGCCGCCGTCGTCGTCGCCGCGCGCTCCCTTGCCTGAGGCACGTCTCGCCTCAAGGCTCTTCGCCGTGGCGAGCGCAGCCTTGATGCTAGGCTGGATCTTTGACACGTAGCACCTGTGGTGGTCCGGGGCAGAGATGGGAGGGGGGGGGGGGCTGTGGGGGAAAAAGCGGCAAGTGCACCTGGCGTGGTGCCGAGGGTGATCAAAGGGGTTCGCTGTTGCATCCTGCGGGCGGACGTCGGCCTCCAAGAGCAGCCACTTGCCCCTCAGCGCAGGCAACTCGCTCTCGTCGCCAAAGACGACGGAACGGCCGCAGCTGTTGCACGTGAGCGGGGCACCGCGCGAGCCCTCCCACCTCGGTGTCCAATCCTGCCCACTCGCCTTCCCCACAAAGTGGCTCGAATCCTCGTTCCACTCGTACCCATGGAAGCGCTCCGTGACCGCCTCCACGAGCTTGCGCGCCTCCCCACCAATCCCCCCCTCATCGTCTGGCTTGGCGACGGGGTACCCACCCTGCATGTTGAGGCTCTTCATGATCGCGTCGTGCATCGTCGCGTCGAAGCCAGCCGGCGTCGGCACGCTCGCCAAAGTCGAGTGGGTGGTGCCCTGCACCTGCAGCAGCGCCTCAAGGTGCACGTCCGACTCGATCGCTAGCAGGAGGTGTCGCCGCTGCTCGCTCGAGCCGTCGAGCTGAAGAGTGATGCGGTCGGCGTTCTTGAGCTGCCGCACCGCGGGCACGCTGTCAACAGCTGTGCGCCAGCCCTGCCAAGCCGACGTGGTGCTCCGGGACCAGGAGAAGACCTTCTCCACAGGCGCGACCAGGTCAAACACGAGGGCAGTCGCGGCAGGCGAGCTGTCGGCCAGCGGGTCCGCGGGCATGATGATGTGCAAGCCGCGAACGAGGTGGGCTGGCAGAACAGCGCGGAGGCTCCTCGCCTCAATCGTGTCTCGCGCAGCGACATCGAGCTCGACCCCCTCGCTGGGCGCGGCGGTGTAGCGCACGGCGACGGTGAGCGCCGAGGACTGCCATGACGCGGTGATGTTGCAGATGCTGTCGCTGGCCTCACTGGTGCCCGCCTCGTAGTCATGCTCAGCGCCAACGAAGGAGAAGGTGTTCAGCTTCACGACGACCTTCGAGGGCAAGCTGCCCGCCGCGCCGCCCGCCTCTCCGCCCGCCGCCCCGCCCGCCTCTCCGCCCGCCACGCCGCCCGCCTCTCCGCCCGCCGCGCCGCCCGCCGCCGCGCCGCCCGCCGCCGCGCCGCCCGCCGCCGCGCCTGTCGGCGCGCCGCTGCCAGCAGCGGGGCGAGGGCCTCGGCGCGCGACTCGCGGAGCTTCGACGCCATGGTGGGGTGCCGCAGGACGGCCGCCGCCACCTGCGAGTGGTAGACGAGCAATCCGACGCAGCCCTCGATGACGTCGTCGCTGACGAGGTGCGCGGACGGGTCGGCGGCGTCGGCGTACGACGAGTTAACCTGGCCGAGCGAGTCCGACAGCGACTCGAGCTCCTGCGTCTGCCCCGGCGCACAAGCGGACCGGATCGCATCCCAGACGGCAGCGAGCCGCCGCTTGCGCTCCGGCAGCGACGCCGTCGAGTAGCCACCGGAGAAGCCGCCCGCGCCGCTCGCGAGGAAGTCGCGCATCTTGGCGAGCATCGTACCGCGCGTGTCGCCGGTCAGCGAGTCGACATACGCCTCAATGCAGTCCCATGCCTCGCCGGCCTCGAGCCCCGCCAAGCCGCCATCGTCGGCCGCCCCGCCGGCTGCGCCGCCCAGAGAGAGCTTCAGGCTGCCGCTCGTGAACAGCGACTCCAGCAGCGACACACCCGAAGCGCTGAGGCCGCCCCCGGCTTTGCCTGCGAACTTGCTCTTGCTCGGCGGGTGCAGCAGGACGAGGGTGAGCTGCTCGAGAGTCACGACCGGCTGCAGCTGCACGTGGCCCACAGGGTACTCGACCAAGGCAAAGTACTGCATCTGCCCACTGCAGCCATTGTTGAAGGCCTTGCGCCCGATGTTTGGCAAGAGGAGCTCAGTGGTAGTGGAGAAGCTCCCCTTTGGTGCATTGAACACCAGAGACGCAACCGCGCTCAGCGAGATTACCTCCCGAGCCGCCAAGTGCTGAACACTGCCTTCCTGTGCGCGCACATACTGCGTGCCGTTCATGCGGAAGGAAGAGCCGTCAGGGACGATCTCGAAAGGCGGCGACTGCACGCCCACATTGTGCACACGGAGCTCCACGGTGCCGCCTCCGATATCCAGCCTCAGCACCGGCGGCGGAGCGGAGAGGTCAGTGTTTTCGTCGTCCGCCGACGATCGCTCTGCAGCCTCGCTCATCTCTAGTGCGGCACAAAGGCGACGATTGACGCCGATCACGGAGGAGGCGACGGCGAAGCACAAGCAGGCGGGCTCTCTATGCGAGCTTGTCTCGACTTGTCGCGGCGCCGGCTTTGTCTTTTCTTTTTACCGGTTGTCCGAGATATTCCCAAAACACATTAACACAACAAAGCTCGATACTCGTAGACGGAGAGAGAGAGAGATGGTCATATTGGAGTGACACAGACTAGTGAAAGAAATCACGACTCTCATAAATCTCTCTCAGACTAGACACTCTTCACTCAGCCAACTTGGCTGCCACACGATTCAATGTTCTGCAACTGAGACTCACCCGAGACCTGCAGGCTGCTCGTCAGCACTGCTGCACCAGTGGACACACAGGCAAGCTCACACGCGTGTCTGCTAGGTCGGCGGAGCTTGGTTGATGGGGGCGGCACCGCCCTGCGGAGAGCGGAGAGGGCGGCGCTCGCCTCTCCGGAGTGAGCAGGCGGCAGAGCGGGCGTCAGACACGTGAGCGAGCAGAGTCGGGCGATCGACGCGTGTGCCTGGATCTTTCGCGAGCAGACGGTCGTCGGCGCCGGGAAGACGGGAGAGAACCAAGCGTCCGGCGTGCGAGCGCGGGCTGCGGAGGGCCGGGGTGCGTGTGCCAAGGACGCGCTGCCCGCGCGACAAATCACCGGTCGCAGCGCAGCCTTGCCCGCCACGCCGTGCCGGCAGACACGCGCGCGGGAGGTGCGGAGCGGGCTCGCGGTGAGTCGAGGTGGCCGAGACGCAGGACCGCCCGTGCGGCGAGGCTCCAGCAAGCGACTGTGCGGGGGGCGAACGGCGTGCGGGTGGGCGGTGGGCCGCGAGAGAGTCACGCAGCGGCGCAGGTGGGGCCGCAGGCTTACCGCAGGCTACGAGGAATCGGGCCGTCGAAGGCAGATACGAGGCGCAGCGAGTGCGAATACAGGAATAACCCGCACGCAACGTGCCGAACCGACCCGCGTGCACGATCGGAGCACCTCTGACGCGGCGCGAGAAGCGCTGAGTTGAGGTGCCGCGGCCCGCGGCTGCAGCGTGTCGAAACGGCGCTTTCGGAGGCGCCGCGGTGGTCGCCGAGCGCGCGGAATCGACGAGAAAATATGACGGCGTGCCGGCCGTGGGCCCGGACGACGGCGCTGGCGAGCCGGACCGAGGCCGCGGCATCACGGTGGCGAGCAGGAGGGGCTTAGGCTGTTTTCACGTGGAAGCGTAGGTGAGCCGAGAACGCTAATCCTGGGTGGGTTTGGCTGATTATGCGAGTAGCTTTCGCGAGCAATCTGCCGACGCCGAGCCCCCGACAGCTTGCGAACTCTTCACAACCTCCTCTCATCGACCACCACATCTTCAAACCAATGCTCGGCCTCTCGCTGTACGCTCTCGCGGCCGACCCGCCCCCCTTCCACCCCGTCTCCATCCCCCACTCGGGCCTCGTCGACGGCAGCTCGTCGACGGCGCTCATCTCGGCGCTCGCCTCGTCGGGGGTCGTTGCCATCAAGGGCATCCCGGGCTACGCGGCCCTCCGCTCGGACATCCTCGCGGCGACCCCGGCGTGTGCGGCGACGCCCGCCGCCGCCGCGCACACCTTCCCCGACGGCACCACCCGCCGCACGCTCGCCACGCACAGCCTTCCGGGCGCGGGCAGGGTGCAGCCCCTCGCCTCGGCCGAGGGGGAGTGCGCCGCGTTTGAGCGCGCGGCCGCGCCCTTCCGCGCGCTGGTGGCGGCCGCGACCAACCTCTTCGCCGAGCGCCTCTCCTCCTCCCTCCGCGCGCGCGCGCCCCTCCTCGTCGCGGAAGACGGGACCGAGTTCAACTCTCTGCACGACGTGTCGACGGCGGGCGAGCACCTCGAGCACTTCCACGCCTACACGCGGGCGACTCCCTCCTCGCACGGCCCCGCCTCTCCCCCGACCATCGACCTCCACACCGACCAAGGCATCTTCATCGCCTTCACGCCCGCGCTGATGGTCTCCGCCACAGGGGAGCCGGACGCGGCTGCAGACGCGGGCCGCTTCGAGGTCGGGCTGGCGGACGGGTCGCGCGCGGAGGCGCACTTCGACCCCGACTCGCTCGTCTTCCTCCTCGGCGACGGCATCCACCAGGTCCTCCCCAAGGACGCGGCTCCGCGCCTGCGCGCGGCGCCGCACGCGCTGTCCGCCCCGCCGACCGGGGCCGGGGGGGCGCGGGCGTGGTACGGGCGGATGGTGCTGCCGCCCAAGGAGGCGGTGATCCCCGCCTCCCTCTCCGAGAACCGCAAGACCTTCGGAACCCTGCGCGCCATCATGGTGGAGGCGACCTTGGGCGGCGTCGAGGACCCAGAGGCGACGGCTCACCGGACCCCCCCCCCCCCCCTTTTCCCCCCTCACCACTCCTCCTTCCTTGAACCCCCCCCCCCCCCCCCGGTCCAAGCAGGCGATGTCCCTCGGCTGCTCCGCCCCCGACCTGCGGCCCACCCACCGCGAGCTCTCCGCCTGCGAGGCGCGAGATGCAGATCGGAGATGCAGATCGGAGATGCAGTCTGGCAGAGACTGCACATGCACAAGCAGAGAGGGGAGGACCCCGCACAGCGCGAGCTCCCCGCCTGCGCCGTGAGAGATGAGCCGAGAGCCGAGCCGAGCCAAGCCGAGCCGAGATCCACCAAAGAGTGCTCGAGACGGGCCGAAAGGAGCCGACGGCGCGCCGCGAGCAAGCCCCTCTCCTCCCTCTCTCCTTCAGTCTCCTCCCTGCTCCTTCAGGCGGGGACCATCTTTTGCTGGAACCGGTGCATGAACACGACCGAGGACCGCGGCGTCTGGTACGGCGTCTCCGACGAGATCTGCGCCGAGCAGGGCAAGCAGCTCCAGTGCACCGACGTGCGGGGCCACATCTACAACTCGAGCTACGACCGCCACGGCGACCCGAGGGCCCGTCCCCTCCCTCTCCCCCTCCCCCTCCCCCTCTCACCGACGCCACCGGGCTGCAGGCGACTACAACCCGAACTGCGTCGCGCCCGGCGCGCCGCACGTCAACTCGGACTTCCCGACGCTGCCCGGCTACCCAACCGACCCGGAGGTGTGCAACCAGGAGGCGTGGGACGCCTTCTCGGCGACGGACGGCTTCGAGTTCTCGACGGCGCTCGGCCCGCGGGGCAAGCTCATGTGGAACGTGGTCGAGGGCGAGGGCGGCCCCGCGATCGAGTCCAAGATGGCGTACAACGGCCTCTTCGGCTACACCTCGTGGGGCCTGCGCAACAACGCCCTCGGCGCCGGCAAGAACGGCATGCAAGGCGCGTGGGTGGCGATGGCGCTGCCGGGCGACGACTACACGCTGACCGGCGACACTCAGCCTGAGCCTCGAGCAGCGTCGAGCTGTGAACAGCGTCTCTTCACACCTCTGGCTGTGGACAGGCGGGCTCAACCTCAGCCTGCCGGGCTCCATCCTGCCGTACCAGATCGACGAGGTGCACTCGCGCTTTCGCTTCTGGAAGGGGTCGGGGCAGCCCGACTCGGCCGCCAACCAGGGCCGCCACGGCGAGCCCATCCCCACCGTGCCGGACACGCTGTACAACAAGTCGATCCACGCCACGGGCTGCTTCTCCTCGATGTCCTTCACCGCGTCGGTCCTCGGGGAGGAGGCGATCACCATCGACGGCTCCGACAACGTCATCTGGGCCGCCAACGTCGAGAACGCGTACGTCGAGTCGCACGGCCGCTCCAACCGCGGCATCGTCGTCATCGAGTGGCGCACCGGCGCCACCGAGTTCCGCGACTACCCGCCCCCCCCGTTGCCCGCCCCGCCGCCGCCCGCCCCGCCCGCCGCACCGCCCTCGTCGGGAGGCGGCGGGCTCTCTGCGGCCGCCATCGGAGGCATCGTCGGCGGCGTGGTTGGCGGCCTCGCCGTCGGCCTCCTCGCCTACTACTGCGGCCTCAAGGCTGGCTGGTTCGCCACCGCCGGCGACAAGACCGCCGCCAAGGGCGCGAGCTACCAGCCCCGCCAGGGCACCGAGCAGCGCATGTGAGGGGCAAGCCCCCGCAGGCTGTACTCGCAGCCGGTCTAGTCGCGCTGGACCCTCCTGGGCCTATCGGCCGCCGGGCAGCAGCATGTAGGGGGCCTTGACGCCCCCGATCCCCCCCCCCCCCCCCCTTCTTCGCAACACGATCCTCGCACACACAACCCCGCGTGCCCCTTCCCCCTCCCGCCCCCGCGACCCATCTGCGCGACTGGCATCACGCCTCGCGCAAAGGCGCAATCTACGCATCACCTGGAGAGCGTCTCCGATCTTTGCCACCCCTCCCCCAATATGTCACGCTGCGCTCCTGACGCTCACTCGCCGTCGTGTCGATCCACCCCTGCACACGTCGGCGTGAGAGAGGATAATGGGACAGCGATGATTGACATCTCTGCACACCTAGTTTGCAATATATGTGTATCTAGAGGAACGGATACGGACAAAAGGGGCCCGGCGGGGCGCCGCGCGCAGCGCCACCGGCACCGCCATTTCACTGAGGGTCATGCCTGCAAAGAGTTGTTGAAATGACCCTCTTTGAAATGGCCCGCCGACAGGGTCCAAAAAATTTATTTCGTCACTGAAATAACCCTCAAATTTGCGGTGTGGAGTTGGGAGGGTCGTGGGTTTATAGGGTTATTAGGGTCCGTCAGGGTCATAGTCTGAGGGTTAGGTTTCTGGAGCCTCGGGTGCTTTTAGACTTCTGATCGGGTCAGGGGAGAGGGGTGAAATTCTGAAAAACGTGCAGCACTTCTAGCCGACATCGACAAAAGTCACTCTCTAGCCCCGCGGCGAGCGGCCCCGCCGGAGGCGAAGAAAATTTTGCCATCTAGCGCACTCTAACACACATTTTTGCACAAATCGACGCCTCCAAACAAGGTCAATAAGTCTTCACTGCAGCACGCCCTCGAGCGAGTAATGCGTCTGTAGGCCAATATAGAGCTTCTCGCGCGCGCTCCTCAGCTGGCGGTCCGCAGGGCCGCCCGGGCGAGAAGCGCAAGCCCGCCAGCCGCACCATGTGATTCACGATGATGAGCGTCTCGGCCTCGAGCAGCGTGTAGGAGCGAAGCTTGCCCTCGCACTCGCGTTGCTCGAGCCTGAAGCCACTGCGCCTTGACCACGAGATAGCCCGCGGGGATGGTGTCGGTGTGTTGACGACCGTGTCCTCGGCCAGCGTGTGCGCCTGCCCCTTGAGCACCGCCAGCCAGTAGAGCACCTCGAGCGACTGCTCGCGCCGATCTCTGCGCGGCGACAGCGGCCTTGAACACGTCTCCGGCCAAGTCGGTTACGGGGAGGGCTACTACGAGGTCTTTGCGCGGGGGTGGTCGGGCGCCAGGCGCCCAGTCGATTGCCGCATAGTTCGTCGTAGTAGCCCTATCATAAACCTCTTATTCACACCTTGCACTTTGAAAAAAGAAATATCCGACCTTTGTCGAAGATCCGGAGGGTTTATCAGAGCATCACCCAGAGTGCGACATTTACCACTTCGATCGTCTCGGAGCGCCAACTTTTAGCATTTCGTCTCAAAAAAAAATCGGCGCTCCGGGCTCCGCGCGCCGGAGGTGCAGTAAGTAGTAGCTATTGTCCCGCGAAGTAGTTCCCGCACACTATGGCTAGAAAAATGCTGTGCTGCTCGCCTCGAAAGCGCCCCTCGCAAAATTTTTGCGCGCCTGCGGCGCGCGACTTTTACCATTTTGCCCCGGGCGGGCCCACTTTGTCGTTTTGCCCCAACTCTACGCCTAGGCGTGCTTTTAGCGTTTTGACCCAAATCGGCCGAACTTTTAGGATACCCTCAGACTATGGTCAGGGTGTTAGGGTTAGTTATACAACTCTAGAGAGCGCGGCACGGCGGGAACTCACCCTGTGCGCAGGGCTGCGCGCGGCGACGTCGCGGCCGCGCGTGTTGGCCGAGCGACTTTATGTTTGGCCTGTGCTTGCCGCGGCGTCGGCCGACAGGGAGGGGGGGGGGGGGGGGGGCGTTGGAGGAGAGCGGTGAGGTACAACTGACCGAAACTGTCGAGTAGGACTAGGAGGCCCGGTGCTTAGCGTGCAATGTGGAGAGCTAGGGTGTTAGTTGGGCTTCTTGGGTTAGTCTTGTTGTGTCCACACATATCGGCCAGCGTTGCAGAATTCTGCGCTGGGATCGGGCCCCAGCGCCGACGACTAAGACTCAGCCCCGCACGCTGACCTAGGGTTAGCGTTAGGGTCAGGGTTAGGGTTAGGGTTAGGGTTAGGGTTGGGGTTAGGGTTATTAAGCGTTAGGGTTCGAGGTTAGGGTTAGGGTTGGGGTTAGTCTTGTTGTGTCTGCATGCCAGCGTTGCAGAATTCTGCGCTGGGATCTGGCCCCAGCGCCGACGAGTTAGACTCAGCACCGAACGCTGACCCAACCAAATGCTGCAGGGCGCCAGCCACCTCTTACACGCGGCCGGCGCCCTCTCGCGGCAAAAGGGTAGAGCGAGCGGGCAGAGTCGCGATGTCTGCGTACCGGCGTGCCGATGGGCGGCACACGCAGCCGAGAGAGGCCCTGTCACGCCGCCCACCTCTCCCAGCAAGACGCCCCGGGGCACGACGAGCGCGGGTGCCGCGTACAGTCCCGTTTCCGGTGGCCTCTCCCGGGCTGCCTCGGTCCCCTGCGGTCGAACTCGGCGGACCGGGCGGCGCGCGAAGAGAGCATTGCGCGGGCCAAGGCATCGTCGCGGGCCCGTCGTGCGCAGGTCGCGCGCTCAACCTGGCCAAGAAGAAGGAGGACAACTAGGCTGGCACCAGACGGGCCTAAGACGGGTCTTCGAGCAGGAACGCAGGCCGTTCATGAGCTCGCCATCAAAGCGCAGCTGCGTCATCCGGCGGCCGCCTGCTCTAAAAATGATCGGCGCCACAGAGCCGGGAGGTGCACGCGGTCGGTCGCGGGAGAGCGCAATGCGATGGCCTAAGCGAGGACGGCTGTGCGCCCGCGTCGGTAAGACGGTAAGCCGTGTCTGAGGAGGTGAACGCGTTCGTGTGTGGGTGTTCGCCGCCTGTATAGGGAGGTAGGCGGTCCCGCTATGGATATGTAAGAGCCACTAATGCAATTGTTGGCCACCTTATGCACATCCATGCCCACGGTCCGTAGGACGTCGCTGATACGTCCTGTATTTTGGTGCCGTGTCAAGCCGGGTGGCGGCTCAGTGATGCGTCACGCATACGCCTCGCTTTACGCGTGCAGACAGAAAGCGCGATCGGTGATTTCAAATGTGCTGCGTATTATGCGCACGTCTTCTGCACCCATCGTTACCACCGACCTTCTGGCCGCTACGCACCACGCACCACGCATCTGTTTTATGTAAGCTTTGCCAGAGAGGCTCTCTCGGGGCGCTACGCACGGTGTATTACGCACACGTCTTACGCAGTGGGATCGTAAATCGGGGCCGGGTGGGCCTATGACCGACGCATTACGCACATGCACTACGCTCTCGACCGTGAACGGCGGCGGAGAGGGGGTTACGCCTCATGTATTACGCACACGTCTGATGCATCGCTCGCCATGGCTGTCCGGGGGGACCTTACGTCCCACGTACTACGCACACGCACGACGGATTTGACTGAGAAGTGGCGGCCAGCAAGGGTTACGCCTCACGTATTACGCATACGTCTGACGCATCCGCCCCACCTAACCCCTAACCCCTAACCCCTAACCCCTAACCCCTAACCCCTAACCCCTAACCCCTAACCCCTAACCCCTAACCCCTAACCCCTAACCCCTAACCCCTAACCCCTAACCCCTAACCCCCTAACCCCCCCTAACCCTAACCCCTAACCCTAAGTTCGCGCTGCCGCTAGGGAGCTGCCATAAATTGGCGCTGTGCCGCTAGGGCTGCCATAAGCTGGCTAGGATTGTATGTGCGCTGGTAACAACAGACTCGGGCATAGCCCTCGACAGCCACCCCCTAACCCCCCCACCCCCCCCCTTTATGTGCGCGCACTGGCGCTGCCGCTAGGGCTGCCATAAGTTGGCGCTGCCGCTAGGGCTGCTGCATAATCATGAGCCTGTCTCCAAACACCTCTCCGACGCGCTCGACTATAGTCCAAATTGGACGATGGACTATATGTCGGGTTGGCGGCCATTTGCTCAGGCGTCAGAATGCTGAGCTCGTACACTGGCAGCTCCGCAGAGGTTGAGGACGGCGGCAGCGGCGGCGCAGAGAGATCGCGGGCGAGCGTGTCCATGCCCGCCTCCCTGCGGGCGTAGAAGAGCGCCGCCTCCTCGGCGGTGGCGAAGTAGCCGAGATTGACCATCTTGCCTCCAACCCTCACATTCAGCTGGTACTTCTGGCTGCCTTTCTGCTTCGGGCGGTAGCAGACGCCTTTGTAGCCGGTGTTGCTGCTGCTACTGGCGGTGAGGGTGAGGCCCTCCCTCTCCGCCTGCCGTATCGCCTCGGCGCCAGCGGGAGTGGGAGCGGGGCGGGGCTGCAGCAGCTTGGCGGCGTCGGCGCGGCCGTACTCTGACTGAGCGTAGGCGGTGGCCGCCTCTTCGGCGGTGTCGAAGTAGCCGAGGCGGACATGCTGGCCGCCAGCCTTCACCTTCGCCTGGAACTTCATTTTGCTGCGGTCGTAGGCCACGTTCTTGTAGCCAGTCGTGCTGTTCTTGGAAATGGCTGGGATCAGCATAACGCCCTCTGACGACGCGGTCCGAGGCGGGGCCATCATGCAGCGGACGCACGTAAAATTTCGCGAGTTTGACAATTGGGATTCGATTTGGATTGAGCAAGGCAGCGCGGGAGCCTGAAATCATTGGCCAGGCAATCGTCTCGCGGGCGTTTTGGCGAGTGGAGAAACATAATGCGTATACGTAGTACGTCAGCGCCTCCAGGCTGTCTGTGGCGCCAGGAGGGGATACGTATGCGGATACATGATACGTCATGCGTAACGCGGTCGTCGATGGGCCTGAATGGGTAAAATTATGCTGCGTAAGTGCGGGGCAGGGCCAACATTGAAGTATTCTGTGCTGTTTTCGAACCGGATGCGCGAGTTGCAGCGGCTGCTCGAGGATGTGCGCTCGGCTGTTGATACCTTGGGCAAGCAGGGCTGGCTGCGACACATGCTCAACGTGGGCAGGCGCACCACGCTCTCACAGCTCGATTTGGATATCACCGACCAGCTCAACCTCCTGCTCAAGTTCTACAACCTCGCCCGCGACGCAGACATCCTCGACCGGCTGCAGGCGCGCGAGTACGCGGTGGGGCCGGGAGGACCGCGCCGCCATCATCTATTCCGCGCGCCTCGTCAGGCAATGAACATCGCGTCGCCGTGCGTGCCTGACTACTGCGGCCAGACAATGCACGACATGTACTGCGGCCAGGCAATGAACGACGCGTCGCCGTGCGTGCCTGACTATTGCGGCCATGCTATGAACGACGATTCGCCCACCGCCGCTTCGTTGCTGCCACTTCCGGGCCACCGCCGCCGTTGTGCCGCCGCCTCCGCCGCGCAATGTGCCGCCGCAGCCTTCACCGCCGCCACCGATGCCTTCGCCGCCCTGCCGTCGACATTGCCGCCGCCGCAGCCCCCCCCCCTCCTACACACACACCGCCGCCCTCGCCCTCGCCCTCGCCCTCGCCCGCAAGGCCTCTCTTTATTCTCTGGCCCTCGTCGCCTGCAACACTCGCCCGACACGAACCTTAGCCCGCTCCCTCGTGACGCCGCCCTCCGCAGGCTCAACGTCCGAGCTTTGTCCCCCGTCACTCTCCTCTCATTTCAGACCCCACACATGCACATAGCTGTTCGCGCTTCCGACCAATGCAGGCGCCTTGCCTCACCCCTCTCACGGGCGGCCCCCATTCTCTCTGCTCTGCAGGACGCGCGCCGAGAGAGGCGCTACATGGAGGCCGCGGGCGCCTTCCGGTGGCTGCTCCTCGTCTGCATCCCCGCCTTCGGCCATTGCGCGTCCGCCGTGCCTGGCCCGACGGCGGTGGCCTCGGCCTTCTCGTCTGCCGTCGCCTCGGCAGCCTCCGTCGCCTCGGCGGCGTCTTCTACCTTCTCATCCGGCGTCGCCTCCAGGCTCTCCGCGAAGAGCGGGAAAGGGGCTCGCGGCCTGGCCGCCGTCTGCCTGCTCCCCGGCGCGGCGGCGGCGCCCGCGGGCCTCCCATCGAGCGCCCTCGCGTGGCTGACCGGGTCTGTGCTGCCGATTGCCGCCGTCGTCGCCGTGGGCGCGTTTGCTTTCGTGGGCAACTTCGCACGTCTGCGCTGGCGGCGAGGCAGGACGGCCGAGCGTCGCCGCCGCCGGATGGGCAACTCGACAAAGGCGACTCGCGTCGTGTCGCCGGCCGGTCCGGCCTCGAATCCGCCGTCGCCGCCGGAGCCCGAGGAGGCCGGGCCGTCTTCGTCAACGGCCGAGCTCGATCTGGGCTCGGTGAGCCTCAAGAAGATGTCCGCTCGCGGCTCGATGAAGGCGGCGGTGGCGGCGTACGACAAGGACGGCGACGGCCGTCTAGACTCCGAGGAGGTGCTCGACGTGGTGGCCGACGTCCAGGAGAAGCAGCGCGACGCGGAGGCCGCGCAGAAGGAGGCCGCGAAGGAGAAGAAACTCCGCATGGTGTTCAGAAAGTTTACTATCTTGCTCGTCGTCGCCCTCGCGATCTCGTTGCTAAGCAATCTCCTCGGTAACACCGCGATCGTATTCCTGTCCAAGGAGACACACGTCGATCACAAGATGCTCGTCGACGGGGAAGGCTCCGTCCTGAACGTGGGCGCGGCGCTGGCAAAGGTGCCGCTCTACGCGCTGGCGGCGTTTGACATTGCGGCGCTCGGGCGCATCAAACAGCTCACCGTGTCGTACACGACCGCGTCGGGCCAGGAGGTAAGCCGCAACCTCGCGATCGTGGCCACAGCGATCGTGGACAACACCGGGACGACGACTACACGACCAACGACGGTCGAGCTTGAGGACGAGGTCGGTTTCAAGGTGCGGCTGATTGGCACCAGGCGCGCGTACCTGGTCCTCCCCGACGGGACTCAGTCGCCCATCTGCCACGCCGACGCTGACTGCACGTCGGTGACGGTCAACAACGACGACCTCAAGGCCTTCGAGGAGAAGGCGGTCAATTCGCACATCGCCGAGGAGGACGCGGCGGCAGGGGCGGGGGGGGACCACGGCAACGGCCGACGCCTCAACATGGCGGAGCGGCGGCGGCTCGCGCGTCGCAGCCTCATGCAGTCGGCCTGCGAGAAGGCTGCGCTCTGCGGCTCCTGTCTTGCGGGAGGAGGTGATGGAGGTGTCGCGCTGGAGAATGGCAGGTGCACACAGTACTGCTCCTACTACGGCTACTGCGGCACCGCTGATATCTATCTAACTGATGGCGGTGGCGGTACTAACTGCATGGGTTTGGATGTCTCCGAAGCCGCACGTTGCGGGCCGAGGGGGTGCGTTGCTGGGAACCCCCTCGACGGCGGCGTTGACCTGGTCAACGGCATGTGCAGGGATTACTGCTCCGGCTGGAACGCTTGCGGTGCGCCCACGCCCTCCTCGCCTCTGCGTGCTCTACCTCCTCCGAAAGCCTGCCCACCGCCCATGCTCAGGTAACACGCCGAACTACCTCGATAACGTAAATTCCGCCACGCTCCAAAGCGGCGTTAACTGTTCGCAGTTCAGCGTCTGCACAGTCTGCTTTCCGGGCGGGAAGCACGATGGCGGCGTCCCACTGATCAACGGCAGGTGCACGGGCTACTGCTCGCATCTCGGCTACTGCGGTATTTCGGAGGTTTACCAGACCGACGGTACGAACTGCACCCAGGAAAGTGCCTTGTGCATGGAGCAGGGCGACTGCTTCGACCCCCAGCCGACGATCAAAATCTGGAGCGCGTACAGTCCTAAAGCGGCTCAGGCGCGGTGAAGGACCAAGGCGTCGTACAAAAACTCTGTGATGAACCCAACGTCTGCGAGAGCTGGCGCAAGGCAAACTGTGCAGTCGCAGGGCGCCGGCTCGTCCACACCACGGTAGACATAGCAGGCCCAGTAGGTAGAGCTATCGGCCCAGCCGCTATACGCAACCGCCGCTTGCCACCCACCCTGTCGCAGGAGGCTGCCGCGGTCGACGAGTGTACCGACACCCCCGAGGAGCTTCTCGCACCCGCTGTGGAGAAGCTCGCCTTGCCCGCCGCCACGTGCGCCGAGCTGCTCACCATCGGGGGCTGCGAGCTCGAGGTCGTCAAGGACCTCTGCGCGAAGAGCTGCGACGCGTGCGGCGGCGAACAGAGCGCCAGCCGCAGACTTCAAGGCAAGTGCGGCCATTGATTTGAGGTCTCGCGAGTAGGTGGCCGCCGCACCCAGCCACCACGGCTTCTCCAAGCACATCCCTCACGTTATCTCGCTTTCCCCTTCCAGGCGAGACGGGACGGAGGCGGCTCGCAAAGTGCCCCGTTTGATCGACAACCAGATCTACGTAGAGAGAGACGCATGGGCGGAAAACCGTCGACTCGTTCCACGACGACTCGATCTGGTGGCCTGTCTTTGGCTAATTGGGAGATAGGGAGGGGGCAGAGGGGGGGGGGGGCTTCTTGGCCCTCAGTCGGAATGGACGTCGTCGAGGAACGAATCTTCGGAGAGGGTTGGCGCACATCGACCTCGAGCGGTCTTCGGAGAGGGAGTTCGTCGCACCCACTGTCAAGACACGAGAGCACTAGTGGGTCTGTACAGGAAAATATGCGCTGTGAGCAGGTCCGGGGTGAGGGCCGGCCTTCATATCTGCTGTATTTTGATAACTGCGCCTGTCTACGAAAACCAGGTTACGCACCCGAAACCAGAGCATAAGGCGATGCGTATTCATTTTGTGGGTTGGGCATATCCATAGCGGGACCGCCCACGATTGCCTGTATATGCTCTATCCTGCGGCAAAACGGACGCGTTTTGACAATCAAAATCTACCTAAAAATTTGCGGCCGCCCTCTCGAAATTTGCTGATCAAAATTTGCGGTGGCCCGGATCGAAACCTGTGCTTTGGCCAACCGGCGGCCTGTGGGCGAGCGTCCCGAGAGCCGAGCGCGGAATCGGGCCAAGCAAAAAAGAATACACGCCTGGCTGGTCGGTGGGCAAAAAAATGCCGAACCGGCTGTCGTCTCCTCCCTCCCCGCTGCTGGCCGCCTCTGACAGTGCCGACGCCGGAGCCGAGGCATCCTCCTCTCGGGCGGCCTCCTCTAGCACCGCCAAGGCGCACGGAGCGCTTTTGGTGGCCGCGTTAATCTACTCGGGCCACAACATCCTCGCTGCCCGCTGCCTGCGCGAGGGTGTCAGCCCGATCGGCTTCTCGGTGCTGCGAGAGCTGGCCTCGATTGCTCTCCTCTACGGCTGGGCCGCCGCCCTGGAGGGGCCTCCCTCGCTGCCGCTGCGAGCGCACCGCGCCCGCTTCGCGCTGCTGGGCGCGCTGCTCGCGGCCTTCCAGCTCTGCTTCGCCGTCGGGATCGCTCTCACCGACGCGACGACGGCGGCGCTGTTCCAGTGCATCGAGCCCTCGACCGCCGCCGTGCTGGCCGCGCTGCTGGGCATCGAGCCGCTCTCTGCTGCAAAGGTGCTGTCGGCGCTCCTCGCCGGCGGCGGGGTGCTCTTGCTGCAGGCAGGGCCGCGCAGCCAGCCCGACCCCTCGCCGGCTCGCCCCTCCGGCTCGCGGCTGGCGGGCATGTCGCTCCTCTTCCTGCAGGGAGTCGGCATCAGCGCGTACTGCCTCGTCCAGCGGCAGCTGGTGCGGCTCCGCTCGCGGCGCGCGGCGGGCGGCGCCGACGGCGAGGGCGAGCCGTCGCCGCGCGAGGAGAGGCGGAGGCGCTGCCCGGAGGAGAGGCGCTGCCCGGAGGAGGAGGGCCACCCCCCTCTTTACGGCGCGGTGACGGTGACGGCGCACGCGTACGTCGGCTCGCTCTGCGTGATGCTGCTCGCCGCTGCAGTCGACTCGCTCGCGCGCCTCGAGGAGCCGCCGCCCCTCTCGGCCGCGGGGCTGGCGCCGCTCTGGAGGCCCGCCGCTCTCCTCGCCGTCGCGTACGCGGTGCTGCTCTCCTCGGTGGTCGGCTACTCGCTCCGCGCGTGGGCGAACCGGCACACGGACGCGAGCGTGCTCGTGCTGTACAATGCGGTGCAGCCGCCCCTCACCGCGCTGCTCTCCCTCGCCGTCGACCCGGTGGGCAGCCGCTGGGGCCTCTCCGAGGCGGCGGGCACGGCGCTCGTCATGGCGGCTGTGCTCGTGTGTGCGCGGGGCGACGGGCTCGTCGGCAGGCTTGCGGGCGGCAGCCGCGGCCGAGAGCGAGACCGAAGGGTGCGCAGGGACGAGGCCTGACGACACGTGACACAGACCGTTTTGAACACGCGTTTGAAACTCGATCAATGTGTGTGAGATGTGTGTATTGCGGAGAGCGTTTTGTGCGTTACTGCGGGCGCCTGTGCGTATATTGCTGATACTGTGAGAGTGAGACCGACAGCGACACCCCGCCGGGGGCTGTTTTCCCGTCGTTTTGGCGGGGGGGGCGCGGGGGGTGTGTTGCGCCCGGGCCGCCCCCCAGCCGCCAGCGGTGTCATACACGGGTTAAATAACGCCGGCTCACGGAGACCGCGGAATTAAGACACCGCCGAACCGGCGAACGGCGGCCCTCCACAGCAACCCGAGGTCCAGCTGCTGTTCACTCGGCGAGCCAAGATTCGATCAGTGTGCGCGCGAGTGAGACTCGCGACGGCACGTGAAAACCGCCCTCGACTGCGGGCCCGTCGCGTCCGGCCTCGCGCTCGAGCCCGAGCTGCTCGCGCACGTACTCCTTGGAGAACCATCTCGCGTCCTCCAGCTCGTCCTCGTCGACCGCGAGCGCCGCGTCGGCCCCCTCGCTGGGCGCTGCGCAGACGGTGAAGCCGACCATGAGCGAGCGCGGGAAGAGCCACGGCTGCGATGCGACGAAGTCGAGCGTCGACCTGTCGACGGAGCAGCCGCTCTCCTCGCACACCTCCCGCACCACACACTCCTCGAGCGTCTCCCCGAACTCGACAAAGCCCGCGAGTGTCGAGTAGCGACCCGTCGGCCAAGCCGCCTTGCGGCCGAGCAGGCACCGTGAGCGAGTCGCGTCCAGGACGAGGACGATCACCGACGCGTCGAGCCGAGGGCGAAAGCGCTCGGAGCACACATTGCATCTCCGCCCCTTCCCGTTCCGGTACGGCACGACCTCTGCGCTGCCGCACTTGGAGCAGAATCGAACGCTGTTGTGCCAGTGCGCCAACCCGCGCGCGGTGGCGAGCAGCGCCGCCTCGTCCACCTCGAGCGCGTCGCACACGCTCGGCCCAGCTCGCGCACGCAGCGGCTCCCAAGCGGCTCCATCGCCACCGATGCTCGCAGGCGGCTGCTCGTCGAGAGCGGACGTCTCGAGCAGCCAGTAATCCCCACGCTGCAGCGGGCTCGCTGCGTCCTCGACGCTGCCGAGAAAGACTTGGAGGGCGCCGCCACCGCCAACCTCGGACACCTCGCTCGCAGAGAGAAGCGCAGGCTTCCAGCCGCCACCGTCTGCCTTGACCAGCGACTGTCCGTTGTGCACCAGAGTGTAGAAGCGCGTCGTACCCGGGTTTGCTGGCGCCGGGACCCGCTGCAGGCGCCCTGCGGTGTCGAAGAACACTGGCGCGAGGGCAAAGAGCGACGCCGGTAGCGATAACATTCCGTGAGCACTTCGAAGGGTCGATTCCGCAGAGGCATTAAGAAAACATACGTAGCGCCGTTTCTAAACCTTTCCACACGCCTCACCCACCCCAGGCCATGGTTTCTTAACTTCGGCCGGGGCACTCAATCTAGGTAGGTCAAAGGTCAGAGCCGGCCCCGGATAGTCGGAAGAGGTGAGCTGCGGTCCCGGATCCGATGCCGCCAGCCAGTCTGCCACCGACTCAAGACGCACACGCCTCCATCCACACCGCTCACTCAGAACACCGCAGACTTGCAAAATGCCAAGTGCGCGCGCCGCGCAGGCGAAGAGAAATTTTCATTTGACGAGCTGGGAGCTCACGTTCACACTCGTGTCTGGCCTTTTCTCGGAGCCGCGCCTGCGGCGCGCCGTGCCCGCAAGGCGCCCGCGTCGCAGACGCGGTACCATTGACAAATCTGCGATATACCCCCACACGAGCAAATAGCAAAATCCGAATACCGTGCACGAACTGCGTGATGTCGGCCGGGCAAGCCATCAGCTGGTGCCAAGACTTTCGTAAAATTGAAGCCAAGAACGTCCGTATTTAGATCTATCGAGACGCCCGTGGTCCGCGAGCCAGACTAAGACGCCCCCGGCTCACCATTCCTGCGATGAAGGGCACGCACCGGACCTGGTATCGCTCAGACTATCGGCCGCCTCCGCGCCCCGCCCGGCCCGCCCTTCCGCTCGCCGCCATTCCGCCGGCCGCCCTCGCCGCCATTCCCGGCCGCAACTCTCGCGCGCAGACGCGGGGGCCTTGGGGGGTCGGGTTCAAGGGGCGTAGGCGGCGGCGCAAGTGCTGGCGGCCGACGAGCGCGGCCTACAGCCGGCGCGCCTACAGCTTGCGCCACGCCGCCACCCCGTCCCTCGCCTCCCCCTTCAACCTCATCCCGTACGGCAGCAATCTCCCTTCGGACGGAGGGGAGCCGGCCGACTGCGACAACCTGGGGTGGCTCGACCTGTGGGGCACGATGCTAGGCGAAGACCTCGCCGCCCCCCCGCGGGCGGCCGACGAGGCGGAGCCCGAAGCGGCCTTCTGAAAAGGGAGCGCGCAGAGACGACCCTCTCCTGAGACGACCCTCTCCTCCCCCCCCTTCTTCCGGGCCTTCGTCTCGGGGCCCTCGATCCGGACCCTTTCTTCCGGGCTCGCCCCCCCGCCCCCGCCAGCCCCACGCGCGGTGGCATCAGGGCGCGCGCTACCCGTCACAGGCTTCACGGAGGCCTCCTTCGGCCAGAAGCCAGTCGGCGGGTGCCGCGCCTTGCGGGCGTGAGCGTCTCCCCCCTCTGCGCCCTTCTACGCGAGGGGAGGAGGTGAGCAGAGCGCTCGCGCCCTGCCCGCTGCCCGCGTGCCGCCTCGCCTCCCAAGTGCGGTGCGCTTCCCGGTGGGCTGACCCACCTCCGTTGCTTTTGCAGCCTGGCACGCGCCAGCCAGAGCGTGGAGCCCGCCGGCTGGCTTCTGCCTCGCCAAACGGGACGACGCCGCGCCGCCCGCCCGCCCGCCGCCAACCAGCAGCTTTGGGACGCCTCGAAGCCAGGGCACGGTGGCCTCCCGGCCAGCGCGCCGCGCCGCGGTAGAGTGCTTGCCTTTTGCCAGTCTTGCGCAGCGGCTATAGCCTTAAGGGCTTGAGATTTCTTTTAACAAAATAAATAAAACGGCTACCTCAGGTACAGGGTTGCACCCCAAAAAAATTTTGCGCTGGCGTCTGCCGCGCGCGCGCCCGCGCCCCGCCCCTTTTGCGCAGCAACACCTTAAACTTCATGGCCCTCCAAATTCGGGTCGGAGCGTAGCGGAGTGGGACCCGAGTTTGAAAAAGGCGACGGACGCTTGCGTCCTAGCCTCCAACAACGCCTCCCCGGCGCAGAGGGGCCCCCGGAGGGATGCTCAACCGCCCCACGCCACGCCGCTTGCGGCGGTCCTATTCCCAGCTCGCGGGGCACTTGGAGCACTTGGAGTGCAGTCAGTAACCTCACATCCAGGGCGACTTCTTATTCTTGTTTACGCTCGAGCGATGTCTCCGCTGCCCGGCCCGCAGCACCAGCACGCTCACGGCCGCGCTTTGCTGATCGGTGACTTTTGGGAGAAGCTGGCCGGCGCGAGCATTGCGCTCACCACCGCCGTCTCCCTGTGCACTCGCGGCGGCTTTGACCTCGTCGAGCCGAGCGTCTTCTCCAGTGAACTTGTCGACCCGGAGGCGCCCAAGGCGCTGCCCCTCTCCACCTACTTTGAACGGGAGCCCATCGCCGCAGCCCTCGCGCCAAGGGCGCTAATCTCGGCCGCAGAATGGCACGCACGTGTCATCGCCACCCCGATGCAGCAGCGGGCCGCCGTTTTAATCATATGGTCTGACTTTCCGCGCGAGTGCCGCGCCGCGGTCGAGAACCGGACCGGGCTTGTGCGTTGTCCGACGAGCTGCACGGCGCGCGCACGGCGGGAGCTCCAGGCTGCCTTCACGCGGCTAGGCCGAGGCTGGCCGCTGGCGTGCCTCGCCGGGGCGGCGCTGCGCAGATCGCAGCGACTGGCCGTGCTCCAGCGCTACCGCCGCGTCGTCTTGCTGAACTTGCGGAGGCACGACGACGCCACGCCTCTGGTTTCGGGCGCAGTGGCTCGCCGCGACAGCATCATGCAGCCGTCTGGAGCAATCATCCACGCCGCGAGACGTTTCCTCGCCTCTCACGGCTTGGCCTTTGGCACCTTCGACGCCGTGCAGCTCCGCTCAAACCACGTGGCGCACGAGCTGTATGCTGTCTCCTCTGCGGGCTGCCCCAAGCGGCTCGCGTCCTGCCTCGAACAGCTGACGGCCGTCGCCTCGCGGAGCACGGTGATTGCGTCCGACATCGCGACTTTGCTCCACTCCCACCAGGACGGGGAGACGCACCGGCGGCACGCCTACATGCGTCACTGCCTCCTGCCGGCGGCACCGATGGTGCTGCGCTGGTATCGGGCGAGCGGGATCGCATTCAACGCTTCCGACCTGCTGCTCGGCGCGGGCGGCGCTGATGCGGGCGCCCTGGGCATGGTCGACTTGGTCCTCGCCAGCGAGGCGCGCGCTCTCACCGCAGTGGATGTGCGTCGGCCTTGGCCGAGCGCGTTCCTCGAATGGATTGTGCGGCGGCGGCGGAGGCGCCCAAAAAGCCGCATCGTCTCGATGGCGGCGAGCCGTACCTCCCTGGTGCGGTGTGGACCACGTACTGCTTTGTAGTGCTAGAGTGATGTCTGATGAGAGCCTCTCGGCCGCTCTCGCGGCTCGCGAGCTACCAGCTAGGGCTCGAGAGGGGTGCCGGGTCGGGCACCGGCGCGGCCAACCCGTAACCGCGGTCGTCACGCACACGCACACACGGTGCGATTTTAACACCGGACCTGAATACTGTACGCAACATATATGAAGACAACGACATGCGTGGGCCGACCCGACCCCACCTCTTGCTGTGTTTCTCCTATCACCTATGCGGCCAGACACGATTTGTACGCCTATCGCGCGGCCAGGGCGTGCCCGTGCACCGCGTGTGGTCTCGTGTGTCTTCGTGCGCGTAGGAGGGCGACAAGTGTCCAAAGGGAGGCCGAAAACGGACTCATCAACATCATTCGGAGGCGTCAGCCCCCGCGTCGGGCCTCGCGCGCTTGGCTGCGGGCTCGTCCGCCGCTTCCGCCGTGCTCGCGCCTCCGTGGCCGTTGGTGGCCGCTGCAGGCGCTGACGCAAGTGCTGACGCAGGCGCAGCCGCCTATGGCGGGAGGCAGTCGTGAGGACACGAAGTCGATACTGCAACCGCGCCGGCTTTCCTTCGCTGCCGTCGGCCGAGTCCACTTCGTCTCCTTCGTCGCCGCGTGGTAGTAATAGGTCCGCCCGTCCGGAGCCTTGGCCTCCTTCCACCCCTCGGGAAGCGGCGTCGGCGCCGCTCCCGGCGCTGCCGTCGGCCGAGTCCACTTCGTCTCCTTCGTCGCCGCGTGGTAGTAATAGGTCCGCCCGTCCGGAGCCTTGGCCTCCCTCCACCCCTCGGGAAGAGGCGCGCTGCTCGCTGGTGCCGCAGCTGCCGCCGCCGCCGCCGCCGCCGCCGCCCGCTCAGCCGCCGCAGCGGCGTCCGCGGCCGCCTTCTCCTCCGCCTCGAGCTGCGCCTAGGGTCGCGGCGCCACAAGGCTTGGGGCGAGGAGGCGCGGGGCGAGGAGGCGCGGGCTGCGCTCCTTGCGCCGAGCCGCGTACTCCGCCGCCGCCTGGGTCAACTCCTGCAGCGAGGTGGAGCCGGCGCCGGCGGGGCGCAGCCGCCCCGTCGCCTCGAGCCCGAACCGGTCCACCTCCCACGTCGACTCCTTGTCAAAGGCGCTCGGCACCTGCACGCGGCGCCGGGGCCGTCGGCTGGCGCGAGGGGTCGAGGGGCCGCGTCGGCGCCGGGCGGCGCCTCGATCTTGCCCTTGCCCTCGATCTCGTCGTGGCGGAAGAGGCAGCCCTGGTTGTGCGGGCCCTTCCGGTTGCAGAAGCCCGACTTGAAGAAGTCCATGCAGAGCGGCCGCACGTTTTCAATCTTTTGCAGCGGCTGCGTCGAGCCGTATCGGGTGCCCCACACGGGCGTGCCAAAGAGACCAAAGCCTGCCGGGGGGCGGAGAGGAGGAGCGTCGGCGGCCGAGCGGCCTGACGCGGCGCGAGAGCTCGCGGCGGCGACGGCGACGGCCTGTGGTCGGGTCGAAGAGCTTGACATCGAGGCCGTCGGGAGCGACAAAACTACCGGCCGCACGCGGCGTGGGCAGGCCAGCGGCGCCGCCGTTGGCGTTCGCGACGGCACTCGCCGCCTCGGAGGCGGGCTTCCCGCCGTGCAAGAACTTGCACGACGCACGGAAGCAGGCGCCGCGCTTGAAGTCGCCGCACTCCTATCCGGCATAAGGGCGGGCTAAATGGCCGAAGCCGCGCGCAGGCCGAGTCGAGCTGCGGCGAGCCACATGCCTCGCCGATCCCGGGCGCCGCCGGCGGGGCGGTGCTCGATGCCATCGGCTGCATCCATGGTTTCATTGGTCGCCGCGCGACTCTGAGGGGCGCGCCGCTGCGCAGGGCAAGCCCAACGATGCTCTCAGCTGAGAAGAAACACTGCACCACTGAGGTGCTTTTGAACACCCCTGACTGTTCTTCACCTTTCTACCTACCTACCTTTTGAAGGACCAGCCCTAGCTTGGCATGTCCGTTTTATTTATTTATTTTGAAGAATAACCCTGTCGTGTGGGTGAACCCTTGTCCCTGCCCAGCCCCCCTCCGAGAGAGAGAGATTGTTTGTTGCCCCCCCTCCGTGTCGCGATGCGCTCCCCACTCCGTCCCCCTGTTGAACCCTGTGTCCCTGATCGTCCTTCCAAGATCCCTAATATTAGCAAGATCCTGCTTGTGCAGGTGGGGAGGATGACCCTGTCCCTTCTCCCATCCTGCACCGCTCGCGTCGGCGGTGCCCGCGGCCGGCTGCTGCTCCTCCGGCTTGACGCGTGCCCGCGTTTTGCGCGCTGCGAGCGGGAGGCGGCGCATATGTGTGGGCATAGAGTAGAGGCCGGGAGTGCCGTCGCGGCCCTTGGCCGTGTCTTGTTCGGCATAGCCGGACATGGTGGAGAGCTCGTCCGCCGTGTTGCCAAAGGTAATGATTACGGGCGGGAGTTGAGAGAGCAAGGCGACATTTTCCAAACCGTACTTGTAGATCGAATCTTGCTGCTCCATGAGCGATACGAGGTCGATCTCGATCTGAAAAAAGAAAAACGTGTGCGTGGACGATTGGTTGGGTTCGGGCCGCGACGCGGAAGGCTCTCGGGGTCGGGGGGAGAATACACGCGCGCCTGCGGACGAGAGTCGCCAGCCCTCGTCTTCACCAGCGGGAACGCCCCTCGAGAGCTCTGCGCGCAGGTCAGTTGGTGGTCGACCATGTCTGGCCCGATGACCCCCTGCGATATGTACTCGAGCTGCGCGGAGGTTGCCGATTTGAGACCGGCACGGCTGAGATAGTCAAAGTTGGCCTTGTCCTCTGTAAGTTTGCACACAAGTTGGCTGGATTTGGTGCCTGGCTCTGCCACCGTGAACGCAAGATTCACGAAGATCATGGCCTGATGAGCGTCTCGCATGTCCTCTACCCCGTACCCCTTGCCGACCGCCTTGTCGGCCTCCACCTCCGCCGGCGTCGGCTCCTGCTCGCCATCCGATTCCCACTCGTTGACTCCCTCGCTTTCACTGCCGGAGGACTCCCCCTCCGCAGCTGCCTCGAGCTCGCGACGTGCCTCAGCGACGAGACCCGCATCATCAGCATCCGCCTGCACCCGATCCAAAGCCAGCCGCCTCTCGCGCTCCTCGGCCTCCGCCGCCTCAGACAGCCCAGTCGTCATTGAAACGGGACTCCATCCACCGCTGCAGACGTCCCGGAGGAAGGCGCCGAGATGCGTCCGCTTGCCCTGCCGGATCTTGTTCGGGCCGGGGTAGAACCCTGGCTGCAGCTCGCGTAGCTTGTTGACGTCGCGCTGCCGGATCCCGCTCGTCGCCACGGCGAACCGAAGCAGTGTTGGGCGACCTCTGCGCTCAATCAGACGTTTAAGCTCCGCGTGCAGCTTGTCCGACTCGAGCAGTGTCTGCAAGAAGCTCGCTTCGAAAATTCTCTTGTCCTTGAGGACGCCTTTGCGCCCCTGCGAGCGCTCCATTTCGTCGACAATCCACCGCACGAACCCCTCCTCGCCGCCGAGCGAGTGGGCGATGAGATTTCGGAGGCCGCGCGCGATGGCCCGCTTTCGCCGACTGGTCGAGTAGGCTGGCTCATTGCTCCGTTTGGCCTCCCACGGAAGTGGCTGGGGGCCCCGCGCGGTAGCCCACACCTTTGCCTCCTCTACCGAGAGCGTCTCGAGTTTGAGAATCTCGGCGACGCCCTCGCACAGCGCCAACCTGCTCGCGTACAGGGTCAGAAGACCCTCGTAGCCAGCAATAGCCGCAGCCAAATCGTCCGGGTTGGCGAGACAGCCATTGTGACCGAGGTGCCCGAGGGTGATCCCGGGCGTCATGCCGCGAGACTTGGCAAAGCGGCTCTCTGCCAGGTACGAGACCGCCGTCTGACCCATGCTGCTGCTGAGTGCTTTGTGCTCTACCGGCACGGCTGGCAACTCCTTCGGCGGCGTGTCCAGGACCGTCTGCATCTCGCTCTCGCCGAGCGGACGCAGCACCTTGCCTGCAATCCTCGTGGCTTGGCTCCCAGCGCGGCGCAAAGTAAACTCAAACGAGTCGAGGCGAAAGCCCAGCTTGTCGAGGAATGGCCTGGCACGCTGGCCGGAGCGCGAGGCGTCCACGCCCCCCGCGTTGAGCGCCGGACGTTGCGGCTGACGCGTTGCAGCTGGTGATGCGTCGCCGGTTGGCTTGGGGGCGGGCGCGAGCGGCGAGGGCCCGTGCAGAGGTGGTGCCGTCATTAGATCGGGCCTGGCCACCGTCAAGGGACTGCCGCTGCGCGGCGAGCTTTCTGGGCTCAGCCGTTGGACCACCGCTCGCGGCTCTGGAGACTCAGAGCGCTCGCGGCTTGAGCCGACGGCGTGACCTGCCGAGCTCGCGGCTCCTGGAAGGCATCGAGCCATGCCTGCACGCGCCTGAGCGAGGTATTGGTTGCCTCTGCGCTTGCTGCTGCTCTCGCCAGTTGCAGCCGTAAAGAGCGCGGCGGGCGAACTGTCTTTAGGCGCCATCGCGTTCAACTAGATACAGTCCACCGGTCGCGAAGACCCTCGGCCGGGGCGGAATCTCCGCTCCCCCCGCCGTTTCATTCATTTTCGTGAGTAGGGGGGGACGAGGGCTCATCAACTTCGAAACCGCCTTTGAGAGGGGGAAACTGCGTCCGTCCCTGAGCGGGTTGAGGCGGGGGTGGTTTCACTGCGGAAGGTCGGGCTAGCCGCGCAATGGCCAATGCCCTTTTTTTAAATATCGCTTCTTCCTTATATCGGGTCCCGGAAGACTCCGGAATAGGACGGAATACGAGATCCCTTCTTCTTCTTTTGGTTAGGTATAGCTACAGGACCACACGGACACGGCACACGCAGCAGCAACTCAAATGTGCCGCATCAACCCACTCAGCAGGCCTGGCTCGTGCGGGCGCGAGGTGTGCTCTCGATGATCCGCGAGGGATGGTGGCACGCACGCAGAGGCCGTGTACGGCCGTGTGCGCACGCGCTCGCGTGCTCGGCTGCGCCCCGCTAGCCCGCGGCATCCAAGGCGGCAGGTCCGGCGGGCGGCTGCGTCCGTGCGGCGAGGGCACTGGCGTGCTGCGCCTGGAGCTGGACGAGCGCCTGCGGTGCGGGGGCAGGGCGAGGACGCCGTGCGGTGAGGCGGGTGAGCTTGCGGGTCGGAGGCGTGATCGCCGTGCAAAGCTCGCTTCCGAGCTCTCACGCCGCGCGTATAGGCCTTTAGCGCGTATAGGGCCTTTAGTGAGTGGCGTAGTCCCAATAGAGGCGCGCCTGCGTCTGCGCGAGGTACTGGCGCAACAGCTGGTTCTCTTGCAGCACTCGCAAGTACTCCTGCTGCTGCGGGGTGAGGCTGCCCGCCGCCGCAGCCGCGGCCACCTGCACGCGCCGGCGGCGTGAGGCGTGGCAGTTGCGAGGTGGGCGCGAGGCCTCTGCCCCCTGGTGGCGCCCCCCCGGCGGAGGGAGCGAGGGCAAGGGAGGTGGGGAGAGGAGGTGGGGAGGGAGAGGCGGGGAGGGTGACTCGTGCGCCGCGCGCCTCTTCGGCGAGCGAGCCGGGCGCGGCGCCCCCCTCCTGCGCCGCCTCGTGCGAGGCCTCGCCCCGCAAAGCTGCGGCGGAGGAGGAGGGCTCGAGCGGCGGCTGCGGCTGCGCCCGGCCTTGCGGTTGCTTGCTGTTTGCTGGCGTCGGGCTGGGCGGCGAGGCGCCTGGAGGCGGCGGGAGAGGGGGGAGGGCGGGGGGGGGGGTGTTGAGAAGGAAAGGGGGGGGGGGGGAGCCCAAGCCCGGCGAGGGGGGGGGGGCGCGCCGGGCGCGGCGTGCTCGTTCGCCGACGGGAGCAGGATCGGGTAGAGGGTCGGCACAGGCACGGGCACGGGCACACGGAAGAGCGGAGCGACCTGCGGGCGGGAGGGGGCGGTCGACGGCGGCGGTCGGGAACGCGGCGAGAGCGACGTGGCTTGGCGGAGTATGACGCGCGGGTGGAGAAGCGGCGCGCGGGCCTGCATCTCGACCCACATGTTTGTCGAGGCGCCCGCGCCAGTCACGCCGAGCTTGAGGGAAAAGTGGACGCCGCGCGGAGCAAATGTGCGCGATGCGTCGTCGAGCACCTCGCGCACCAGCGCCTGCACGCGCCCGATGCGCCGCGAGACGAGCAGCGAGACGAGCGGGAAGGCGGCGGCGACGAGAGTGATCTCGAGCAGCACGGGCAGCAGCAGGTCGGGAAGGTCCTGAGACAGCGGCGCGACGAGGAGCGACGGGTCGGCGCCGTAGAGCACCGCCACGGTGAGCGCGTCGATCGCGAGGAACGGGAGCAGGAGCGAGGACAGGCCAAAGTGCGCCAGCGGCAGCAACGCCTTGTTTATCCTTTCGGTGACGCCGTAGTACTCTGCCTCCGAGAGCCGGCCGACGAGCGAGGCGGGCATCGGGCCCGCGTCGAGGCTGAAGTGGGCACGGCCGTTTGTGCGCAGTGGGACCACGCACATGGTCGAGGTGGATGCGGCGCCGGGGGTGGAAGTCATCGTTGTTGCGGAAAAGAAAGGCATGTGTCGTTTTCTTTCTTCATGCCTCCCTTGGGTGGGCGACGGATAGCGCACCACACACCTCTCCTTAAAATCCCTGTGTGGTGGCGGCGTGCCGTCCTCCCATCCCTCCCTTGGGTTGTCTGTTTTCTTTCTTTCTTTCTTTATGCCTCCCTTGGTTTGTCCGTTTTCTTTCTTTTTTCTTTCTTCTTTTTCTCACATTAACAGTCCCGTCCCTCCCTTGGGTCGTACGTTTTCTTTCTTTTCTTTCTCACATTAACAGTGGCCACGGGGTCATCATCATTTTTGCCGTCGCCAGTCCGCAGTCGCCCCCCAAACGCTACAGCGGGGGCGGCGGCGGCGGCGGGGGCGGCGGCGGCGGCGCATGCCAGAACCCTCCAACCCTCCACGAGTCACACTGACCGACGCGCGTCCGACCCGATGCTACACCGGCCTGTGCTGCACTCCTCGGTCTCGCATACACCGGGATGCGGCACGTCTCGGTTTAGCACAGGGCTGCTGTGCGAGCGGCTCGGCGTCGCTCGCGAGCCGGGCGTCATCTAGCTAGCTCTCGGCGACGCGCCAGAACCCTCCACGAGTCACGGACCGATGCTACACCGGCCTGTGCTGCACTCCTCGGTCTCGCATACACCGGGATGCTGCACGTCTCGGTTTAGCACAGCCACAGGGCTGCTGTGCGAGCGGCTCGGCGTCGCTGGTGAGGTGGGCGTCGTCTAGCTAGCTCTCGGCGACGTGCCAGAACCCTCCAGGAGTCACTGACCGACGCGCGTCTGACCCGATGCTACACCGGCCTGTGGCCGAGGGTGCCGCCGCGGTGCCCGCCGGTGCCCGTGAGGTGCATCGGCCTTGGGAGCCCGCGCGCCGCGGGGCCAGCCGCCGCCAGCGCTGCCGCCACGCCGCCGCCGGCCACACGCCCGCGCGTGCGCCGCCTGCGCCACCTTCTTGTCCACCTGTGCTTCGAACCTGTGCTCTGCCGCGGCCGCGCGGGCCGTGGGCCGGCCCTCGAGTTGCGCTGGCAGACGCGCACTGCACCCCTTGTGGTTGCCGAGCGAGAAAAAGATTTTCAAAAGAGGGGTTTCCGGAAGCGATTTCTCGAGATTTCGCGCCGATCTCCCGCAAAACCATCGCAACTCTCGCGTGGCCGGCGCACCGGAAGAAAAGAATAGATGGGCGGCGAGATGCCGCGGGCGCCTCGGGTGCAATACGAGTAGGGACGGGCGAGGGAGGAAGGGCGCTGACCACGGGCGACTACGTGCCGAAGATTCGACGACGACTACTCGCCGCCTGGGTCGTTTGGGGCGCGCGGCTCCGTCGAGGACCGGGCGCGCCCCCAGCGCGGCGTAGGTCCCACTCTGACGAAAAGAGGGGAGGCACGGTCGACAGCCCGATCCATCAACTACACTCATCTTCTGGTGCTTAGCCCCGTGCAACAGCGGTCCGGCAGGCTGCCCCCAAGGCCCCCCGGGCCGCTGCGGGTTTGGGAGTTATGCTTAGGCACAGCTTCGGCGATGGCAGCCCCTCTCTGGGGTGTTGCATAGGCGGGGAGTCTCCCCCGCTGGTCTCCTCCTTCCCATTTTTTCTTTTCTTTTGAGAGCAGGACGCCGGGTTTGTCTTGTATGTGCGTGTCGGGCCGGGGTGTGAGCGAGGGGCAGAAGGGGCGGGGGCGTGCGGGGCAGAGGCCCAACGTCGGGCGGCTTGTCGGGGTCCGGAGGATTCGAGGGGGGAACGAAGAGGGGGGGATGGGCGGTCGGCGTCGGGCGGTAGCAGGATGCAGGGCGTACGGGGTAGCCGTCACTTTCCTGCCTCGAAAAGGCGGGGCTGTCCCGGAAAGTGAGAAACGCCGGGCAGCGTGGCGCATTACTGAACCCTCCCATACGTGTTTGTGCCTCCTCCTTTGCTGTCCCATCTCCTCATCTCTTTCCCGCCTGGGCGGGGCAGCGGGCGGGCGCGCGGTGCGGCGCGGCGTGTGCGTGTGTGCGACTGCAACAAAGGACCGCTCGCAAGGGACCATTGGGCTTGTACTAGGTAGGTAGGTAGGTAGAAAGGTGTACCTTTAACAACCAAGGCCTCTCAAAAGAAAAGAATCAGATTTTCGCCTCTCTCCGGCCGACTCCTGGTTTGCATGCATCTGGGCCGCCGGCTCTTCGCCACGAGCTTCGCCACCCTCGCCACGTTTCCGACGCCCGGCTCGACCGCCGCATCGATGACGGGAGCGAGCCGAGTGATTGACTCTGCCATCCACCTCTGGTCCGACGGCGAGGCGCCCTTTCCTTGGGCAAGCCCGCCGCCGGCCGAACTGCGCTCCGCAGGATCACCCGAGGCGTTCCTCGCCGCCGCCAGGGAGGCGGGCGTCGGCGGCGCTCTCGTCGTGCAGCCCGCAAACCACATGCACGACCACAGCTACGTTAGCGAGGCGCTCAAGGCGCACCCGACCTTTTTCCGCGGCATGGGCTTGGCGAACCCGACGTTGCCGCCAGAGGAGGCGATCGCCGCGCTCGAGGCGCTGCACACGGCCGGCTTCGTGGGCGTGCGGTTCAATGCCGGCGCCTTCGAGGGCGGCCTCTGCTCAGATGTCGGCAGGGCGCTCTACCAGCGCGCCGGCGAGCTCGGCATGCCCGTCGGCGTGATGGCCTTCAAGGGCCTCGCGGGCTTCGTGCCCGACCTGAAGCGGCTGTGCAGCGAGTTCCCGTCGACGACGCTGGTCGTGGACCACATGGGCTTCTTCCGGCAGCCCGCGAGCGGTGGGCAGCTCGGCGACGCTGCCGCCAACGACGAGGCCAGCTGGCAAGGTCTCCTCGACCTGGCCGCCTACCCGCAGGTCTTCGTCAAGGTGTCGGCGCTCTTCCGCGCGTCGGGCGAGGCGCCGCCCTTCGTCGACCTGCAGCCGCGCGTCAGGCAGCTGCTCAATTCCTACGGATCCTCGCGCCTCATGTGGGGCTCCGACTACCCGTTCGTGCTGCCGGGCGGCTTCCCGCTTCCCGAGGGCGTGAGCAGCACGCCCGCCGCCCTCACGTACGCCCAAGCGGCGGCCGTGCCGGCGCAGTGGTCCTCGGTGCCCGGCCTCGACGACGCGGCGCGCGCCGCGCTGATGGGCGGCACCGCCGCGAAGCTCTTTGGCTTTGGGGGCGACAAGGAGTGCGCCGGCCGGGGTGGCTAGCGCGCCCGTGAGGGGGGCGCTGGCCCCACGAGCCCGACGAGGAGGCCCGAGCGAGCGGGTTGTGCTTGACCACCGTGGTATAGTTAACCCATTGCGCCTCAGACGCTCAGTTCGAAACTATAAAAGAAAGAGTACGTGGACATTATTTTGGCTAAGCGATGCGGGCCAGCTGCGCATTCTTTTTGCGCAGCCCATCAGTTTTGTTTTTGCGACGAGTCATGCTGGCGCCTTGCCGCGCCCCAGATAATGCCACCAACGACGTCCGGATGTGCATGCGCGCTCGTCGATCCGCAGGCGGCTGAGGCGCTTCGCCGGCGGCTGGACGACTGTGGCTACTTGGACACCGGGCGGCGGGCATTCCGCGCTGAGAGTGGCGCGGTGGCACTTCCACTCACGGCTGCTGGCGAGGCATACGCGGTGCAGCACGGCGAGCTATCGTTGGCTTTCCTGCCGCCGCCCACCACCGACAGGCGCACAAGCGACAAGCGGCAGCGCATGCACGGGCGCTGCGTCGCCGCCCTGGAGTCATCTGGGCTGCCGCGTGCGGACGCAGCGCGCCTCTTCCCCGTGCAGTCGCTGCCCTCGAAGTGGGAGAAGCTCGGCGACGTTGCCCTCTTTGCCCCAAGAGGGATGTTTGAGTCCGGGTCGGGGGCGGCAGAGGCTCTGGCGGCGCTCGCTCCCGCCGCGAGAGAGTCTCTCCTTGCCGCGCTCGCAGCAGAGGCTGGTGCGGCGAGGCTGGGTGTGCAGGGCAGGATCGGGCAGGTGGAGGAGGCGCTGCACCGCAAGAGCGGCGCGCGCCTGGTGTGGCCGCCGGGTGCCGGCGGCTGGGTGAGTTTCAAGGAGAATGGCGTCCTGTACGGGCGAGTCGCCCACTATTCCGCCTCCTCCTCTTCCCTCCTCTGCCTCCTCCGCCCTCCTCCGCCCTCCTCCTCCGCCTCCTCCGCCCTCCTCCGCCCTCCTGCCCCTCCTGCGCCCTCCTCCTCCCTCCTCCGCCGGGCCCGAGTCGGCGCGCCTCCTCGGTGTGCAGGCTCGACGTGTGTCGCTCGATGTTCAGCTCCGGCAACGGCACCGAGAAGGCGCGCGTGGGCAGCTTCCCGTGCGCCGGCGAGACGGTGTCGCCAGCGGCGCCGAGCGTGATCTTCTTTCGCCGGGTGCGCCGAGCCAGCCGCCCTCTCGGCAGGTGGTTGACTTGTACGCCGGCATCGGCTACTTCACCCTCCCGTACCTCGTCCATGCCGGCGCGGCGCACGTGCACGCTTGCGAGTGGGACGAGGATGCTCTCGCCGCCCTCTCGCGCAACGTCGCGGCGAACGGCGTCGAGAGGCGGTGCACGGTGCATGCGGGCGACAACGTGCAGGCGGCCGCCACGCTGGCGGGCGTGGCCCACCGGGTCAACCTCGGCCTCATCCCCAGCTCCGAGGCGGGCTGGCCTGTGGCGGTGGCGGTGCTGCTGCCGGAGGGCGGCACGCTGCACGTGCACGCCTGCGTTGGCGCGGGCGCGAGCGAGGAGGACGCGTGGGGTCGGGCGCTTCTCGCGAGGCTCGAGGCGCTCGCGGCGGGGATGGGGCGGAGAGGCTGGGCGGCGAGGCTCCTCCACCTCGAGCGAGTCAAGTCTTACGCGCCGCGCCTCAACCATGTCGTCGCGGACGTGCGGCTCGCGCCGGTTCGAGTAGCGTGAATTTGTAACCACGAGGAATGATCGATAGACGTAAACGATCAGCAGACACTTCTTCGAAACACACGCGCTCTCTGGACTCTAGCTCTGGGTGTGTCTATCTGCCGCCTCCGGCGCTCCACGCGCATCCCTCACGCTCAGCCCTCTCTCCCTCTCTCCCCCTGACGGCTGACGCGCTGCACAGCCTCGGCGCCCTCGCCAAGCCGGCGCACGCACGTACCTCTCCCGCTGCAGCCGCATCCTGCCGCAGCCGCGCCTCTAGGCAGCCGGCCGGGCGGCGCCAGCGCAGAAGACCATGATCGCATTCTGCGCGTGCATGCGGTTCTCCGCCTGGCGAAAGACGTGCGACTGCGCCGACTCCATCACGCCGTCGGAGACCTCGCGGCCGCGCTCCGCGGGCAGGCAGTGCAGGAAGAGGGTGTCGTCCCTGCCGGTCGCCGCGAGGAGCGCCTCGTTGACCTGCGGCGCAGACCCGGCGACAGCGTCGCGGAGGTGTCTCGGAGGTGTCTACGAGGTGTCGACGAGGTGTCTCGGGGGTGTCTAGCAGGTGTGACTCGGGAGGGCCTCCCGCCTGGTACGGGGCAAAGACCGCCTCGCGCGTCGCCGCCTCCTCCTTTTGGCCCATCGAGGCCCACACGTCGGCGTAGATGACGTCGGCGCCAGAGACGGCGCCCGTCGGGTCGTCCACAACGACCCGCGCGCTGCCGACGCCGCTCTTCGCCACCCGCTCGACCAGCTCCGCGTCCGGCTCGAAGCCGCTCGGGCAGGCGCACACGAAGTCGAAGGGGACGACGCAGGCGAGCTCGAGCCAGGAGTGGACGATGTTGTTGCCGTCTCCGACGTACACCACCTTCTTCCCCTCGATGGAGCCGTCCGGCACGACCTCCTCGATCGTGAGCGCGTCGGCGACGATCTGGCACGGGTGGTTGTAGTCCGTCAGCCCGTTGACGACGGGAACCTTTGAGAACTGGGCGAGCTCGAGCATGTCGGCGTGTGCGTAGAGGCGCGCCATGAGCAGCTCGTTCATCGACGCCAGCACCCGCGCCACGTCCTTGGTCGCCTCGCGCGTCCCGATCCCGACCTCCTCGCCGAGGCAGAGCGCATGGCCGCCGAGCCGCCGGAAGCCCGACTCAAAGGAGACGCGAGTGCGGCAGCTCGGCTTGGTGAAGACCATTGCGAGGGTCTGGTCCGCAAACGGCCGGTAGCCCGGTCCGCCGGCGGCGAGCGTCGCCTTGATCCGCTTTGCGAGGTCGAGCACCTCGCGCACCTCGGCGGTGCTCAGGTCGTCGACGTGCAGAAAGTGGCGCTGCCCGGCCGGGAGCTCCGTCTCGCAGTTGGCGGCGGACAGCACCGCCGGGCGCTGACGTGCCGGCCCGCTGCCGATGGAGTGCGTTAAGCCACGTGCCGGCCCGCTGCCGACAGGGGAGAAGCTGGTTGCGGCGACGAGGAGCGAGAGCATTGGCAGGCTACGATCGCAATGCCAATGGCGATGTTGACGATGGACGTGGAGATGGCGTTTCCGACAGGGATTTGGCAAACTGCAGAGAGGGGTCCCCCCCACGTAGTAGGTTTCGCCTTCCCATCAATCAATCAGTAGGTACAGACGCCTTATCCGGCTAGGAGTTCGACCGAGGCAGCTTGCCTCCACCCTTCACACGGCTCAGCCCCTGTGAGCCCTGTGCATACACTCAAAAGCCTGCCGCCGTGCCAGCGCATTGGGACCAGGGCTCGCGGTCGCGCTGTGCTGACTGCTGAGGTGCTGTGGGGCTGACGTCCCCAGCGAGGTGGCGTGGGCGGAACCCCTCAGGGGTCTGTGCGAGGGACACCACAGCGTAGCCGCGTGCTGCGCGGGGTCGCGGGGTCGTTCCCTGCTCTGCCTCTGGCGCAAGCCAGCCTCCCAACTCAACCTTCCCGGTCGCGGCGGCCTCGAGCGCCCCGCGCGGCCTCCCCGCGCGCTCAGACGATGCGCTCGAGCTCCTTTGCGTAGGCGAGCGACTCGTGGATGAGCTGCGAGGCGGGAAGCGCGAGCGGCTTGTCGTCCTGGCCGCCGAACGTGACGAGGCCGTTGGCGACGCGCCAGTCGCGCTGGTCGGCAAACTCGCGCAGCTCCTGCCCGGGAGGAGGGGCGGTGAGGGGGCGAGGGCGGCGGCGGGAGGGCAGGAGGGCAGGAGGCGGTGGTGCGTGCGCGCGCGCCTGCTCGGAGCTGATCATGAGCATCGTCTGCAGCTCGGCCGCAGAGACGGAGTGGTACGCCTTCTCGGAGCACTCGGCGATCTCGTCGCGGACGGTGTCGACGAGCAGGTCCATGAAGTAGAGCCCCTCCTTGGCGTACGCGCCCGACTGCTTCGCCGAGAGCACGCGGTTGTACGACCCCTCCATGATGTGCTGCTCGAGCTGCGCCGGAAACTTGATGAACTCGTTGCTCAGCTGCAGCTCGACCGGCAGGAGCTCGAGCTCGGTGTGGAACTCCGCGATTCGGTTCTGCGCGAGCAGCCGCAGCAGGTTCAGCCCGAGGATCGGGTACTGCCGCTCTGACGCCGGCAGCGAGCCGCAGTCCGCATAGTACACCTTGAGCTGCGGCGTGGGCGGGCAGGGGTCGGCCGACGGTCGCGAGCGCGCACGGAGCCGGGATGCGGCGGCCGGAGCCCCCCGCCCCAGCGGCCGAGGCGCGGCCGGCTGGGGGAGGGCTGGGGGGCGGCGCGCGCCGCCCGGGCCAACGCCGCACCTGCGCGATGTGCCTCTCAAAGGCGGGGATGTCGACCGTCTTGATGGAGACGAGCGTGCCGTACTCGAGGATCTCGCGGGCGAGGAGGAGCTCCTGCTGCTGCGAGGAGGACGGCGCCGACGGCGCCGCGGGCGGCAGCGAGCCGAAGGAGAGCATGCCCATCTTCAGCTCCGCGAGAAGCTTGACGCACGCCTCGAGGTCCTCGCGCGCAAACGCGGCCTTGAACTTTTCGAGCTGGGCCGCGACGGCCGCCACCGGAGTCGCCTGCGGTTGAGGCGGGGAGGGGGTGGGGGGCCAACGGGAGGGGGGGAGTCGCGGGCGTGGGCTGGCAAAGGTGTCTGGGGGCCGCTCTCTCACCATCGCAAGCGCGTCGATTTTCTTTTTTACTATCTGTCTCTCTCTCTCTCTCTCTCTGTGTGTGTGTGTGTGTGTGTGTGTGTGTGTGTGTGTGTGTGTGTGTGTGTGTGTGTGTGTGTGTGTGTGTGTGTGTGTGTGAGGTGCCTATATGGGCTTCCAGTATCGGACCTTCAAGATATGCCTCTCTTGCTTTTGGCCGGTGGCCTCTTCGGACATGGTACCGACCGGTGAGTGCACGGAGTGAGCAGTGTGGCACTGAGGCCGACATGAGAGCTGGTGCGGCACACAAGCGAGATGTGTTGCCGCACAGCATTTCCGGCTTACGCTAGTCCGCCGTATTCCCATGTCCCCGGATTCCCATGCCCAAATAGTGGCACGTCACGGCTCCCGTTGTGCAAGTTTGGCACGTCATAGTCTCTGACTGCTTTCGCTGGGCGGCACGCGCTGCGAGACAGTCGACCTCTTTGCTGTTGTGGTGTCACAACTCGGTGCATAATTGCGCCACTCCCCCACCGGTGTATAACTCCGCCTTCGTACTTTGAGTACTCTCTGTAAATATGTCTTCCTCGGATGAGGAAGCCCGCAGTGCTGCGGGCAACCTATCTCCCGCGCTCTCCCGCGACCAAACCGCGGAACCGCGTACGACTTGAACTCCACTTGCTGGACACCGATGCTTCGGGTTCAGATGACCATCTCTCGAGCGAGAGAAGAGGGACGCCTCACGATACTACAGAGGGCCTCGACCAGGGCCATTCCACACGGTCAGACCACTCCGATCCCCACCACACCTAACCTCCCACGACAGCGATTGTGGGGACTATACATGACCCGTACGTGAGGGGTGGATGGAGGGGGGCCCGTCCGCAGAGCTAGGCGGCGCGGGCAGAAGAAAAAAGGGCTTCTTTCTTTCTTCCAATCTCTTTGTGCTCAGGCCTAAGCAAGCTGTGGGGAAAAGAAAAGTTTTCTCCCATCTCCTCATCTCTTTCCCGCCTGGGCGGGGCAGTGGGCGGGCGCGCGGTGCGGCGCGGCGTGTGCGTGTGTGCGACTGCAACGAAGGACCGCGCAAGGGAGACCATTGGGTTTGTACTATTAACAACGAAGGCGCTCTCAAAAGAAAAGTGTCGTTGGAATGCGATCTGCCGTTCTGCTTGCCCTCGTGGCGCCTGCCTGCGCCTCGCCCTCGCTCACGCCGCCTCGCCGACCGACGAGCCCCGCGCTGCGACCGCTCCCGCGCTCCTCCGCCGACTCCGTCCGCCGGCTGCGCGGCGGCGACGACGGGCCTGTCGCCGGGCTGCAGCGCGCCTACCTCGGGGTGCCTATCGCGACGCGCAGCTGGCTCAGCGCGGTGCTCGGGCTTGCCGCCCTCTCGCAGGCCGGCCTGGTCTCGGAGGAGGCGCTGACGGTCGACGCCGCCGCCTTCTCCGGCCGGCTTCAGCTCTGGCGGCCGCTGACAGCGGCGGCCTTTGTCGGCGGCGTCGGGCCGCAGCTGCTACAGAAGCTGTACTACGGCATCTCGTTTGGCCGGGAGCTGGAGC